GAAGGAAGGAAGGAGAAAAGGGAGGGAGGGAGGAAGGAAAGAAGGAAGGAGAAAAAAGGGAAGGAGGAAGGAAGGAGAAAAGGGAGGGAGGGAGGAAGGAAGGAAGGGAAAAGGAAGGAAGCAAGGAAGGAAGGAGAAAAAAGGGAGAAAGAGGGAAGGAGGGAGGGAGGAAGGAAGGAAGGAAGGAAGGAAGGGAGGAGAAAAGGGAGGGAGGAAGAGGGAGGAAAGGGAGGAAAGAAGGAAGGAAGGAAGGAAGGAAGGAGAGAGAGAAAAGGGAGGAAGAGAGAGGGAGGGAAGGAGGGAGGGAGGGAGGGAGGGAGGGAAGGGAAGGGAAGGAAAGAAGGAAGGAAGGAAGGAAGGAAGGAAGGAAGGAGCAAATCAATCCCCAGATCTCCCGAGGGTCCAAAAGCTCAAGGGGTCCACCACCACCAAGAGATCAACACCCTAACCCTTTCCATGGACTGGGTGGACTTTGATCTTGTGATGGTGGCCATCTTGACCTTTTTGACACGCTTCCACCTCCCTCCCTCCTGAGGCCGCTTGCCCACCCCAACCCCTCCGTAACCTCCCTCGGGCTCCCACGTGTGGCGGAGGGGGCCTTTCCAAGCCCCCCCCCACTCACCCATCCACGGATGCCTCTCCCCTCTCCCCCTCCCCCTCCAGCTGAAGGAAGACTGGGAGTACGTGGCCTTAGTGGTGGACCGTCTCTTCTTCTGGACCTTCGTGGTCTTCACCTCCATCGGCACCCTCATCATCTTCCTGGACGCCAGCCTCCACCTGCCCCCGGAGAAGCCTTTCCCCTGAGGAGACCCCCACCCATACACCCAGGGAAGGCAGACCCTCCTCCCCAGCCAGCCAGAGAAGACAACCCAGAAGGAGGTGGAGATGCCTTCAAACCATCTTCATCCCCGACATGGCGCTCTCCGAATGGGTTGGACTGGAACTCCCATTTCTCCCCGCCGGCAGGGGGCTGAGGCTCATAGGAGTCGGAGTCCAAGGCCCGTGGAGGACCCCGTCCGAGGAACGGGCTGCCCTAGAGTCTCCAGCTACTTTTCGCCGCAGAGTTTTGGGTTGCAACAATGAACGCTGGGAAACTTTGCTCCCAATTTTGCTTTGGAAGAGACAAGCTGCAGGAAACGTGGTTGTGGAGAGACGCAATTCGTGTGTGGCCCCCCCCCCCAATTTCCTGCTGGGCTTCCCCTAAATTCCCTTCTCCCGGTCTTGTGCGTTCCAGATGGGCAGGACTACACTTCCCATCCTCCTTGGCAAGCCCAACCAGGATGTAAAGCTTCCTCCTTCCGTTATGTATTCAAGATGGATGGTGTCTATACCAGGGGTCTTCAAACTTGGCCCTTTTATGACTTGTGGACTTCAACTCCCAGAATTCCTCAGCCAGCGTGAGGGAACTAGGACCCTCCTATGACTTGTGGACTTCAACTCCCAGAATTCCTCAGCCAGCGTGAGGGAACTATGACCCTCTTATGACTTGTGGACTTCAACTCCCAGAATTCCTCAGCCAGCGTGAGGGAACTATGACCCTCTTATGACTTGTGGACTTCAACTCCCAGAATTCCTCAGCCAGCGTGAGGGAACTATGACCCTTTTATGACTTGTGGCTGAGGAATTCTGGGAGTTGAAGTCCACAAGTCATAAAGGGGCCTAGTTTGAAGAACCCTGGTCCATACACATGTTGTATATAGTATGTTTTAAACATGTATGTGTACATTTGGAGAGCAAGAGACTAAATTTCATTTTTAAGGTGTGCCGTTGTGCCCACAGTAAAAAATGACAATAAAGCTTATCTAATCTCATGTAACCAATTCTGTTTTTCTTTCATGAAAATTAGATCCTTATTTATTTTTTTTAAAAAGTGCTACTTTTCTTAATTTAATATAATTACAGCATCGAATGCGAATCCATCCTTTGGAGACTTATAAATATTGTCCTGCTTTGCTCCAGGCAGAAGGGGTCCTCGGCTTACAACCGCAACGGAGCCCCAAATTTCTATTCCTAAGTTGTAAAGTGAGTTTTTGCCCCCGTTTTTTAACCTTCCTTGCCACCGTTGTTCAGTGCAGTTGCGAAGTTAGGAACACGGTCGTTAAACGAATCCAGCTTCCCCATGGACTTTGCTAGTCAGAAAGTTGCAAAAGGGTACCCTGGGACGCTGCGACCGTCATAAATGCGAGTCAGTTGCCAAGTGTCTGAGTTTTTATCACCTGACCATGGTCGTAAGTGTGAAAAACGGTCATACATCAATTTTTTTCAGTGCCGTCATAAGTTTGAACGGTCACTAAATGAACTGTTGTAAGTTGAGGACTGTATATAGAATAGAATAGACTAGAATATAGAATACAATAGAATAATATAGAATTGAATTGAATTGAATTGAACAGAATAATAAAATATAGAATATAGAATTGAATAGAATAGAATAATAAAATATAGAATAGAATATAGAATAGAATAGAATATAGAATAGAATAAAATATAGAATATAGAAAATAGAATAGAATATGGAATAGAATATAGAATAGAATATAGAATTGAATAGAATAATAAAATACAGAATAGAATAGAATATAGAATTGAATAGAATAATAAAATATAGAATAGAATAGAATATAGAATTGAACAGAATAATAAAATATAGAATATAGAATAGAATAGAATAATAAAATATAGAATAGAATAGAATAGAATAAAATATAGAACAGAATAGAATAGAATAATAAAATATAGAACAGAATAGAATATAGAACAGAATAGAATATAGAATAGAATAGAATAGAATAATAAAATATAGAATAGAAAATAATAATAGAATAGAATAGAATAGAATAGAATAGAATAGAATAGAATAGAATAGAATAGAATAGAATAATAAAATATAGAACAGAATAGAATAGAATCTGGAAGGGACTTGGGAGGTCTTCTAGTCCAGCCCCCCGCTCAAGCAGAACTTATACCATCTCAGACAAATGACTATCTAGCTAGCCTCTTCTTAAAAACCTCCAGGGATGGAGCGCCCACGATTTCTGGTGGCCAGCTGTTCCACTGGCTAATTGTCCTCCCTGTCAGGAAGTTTCTCTATAATATCTACATAAGCCGCAACAAACTTAATCCCCATCTCTTTCTGGAGCCTCTTTTGTTTTCCCCAAATGGTCAGGAGTTGGGAGGTAGGAACGGTGTCGGAATTGGGGGGGGATAAGGATTTGGGGGGGGGGTCTTCAAAGGTCTTCCCTTGCCCAGAAGGACACCTTTTGTGGGAAGCCCCGATTTTGGTGTCCGAAGATCTCAGCCCTTTGCAACCCAACAGATGCCCCCCCTCCCAGGGTTTCACTCTCTCTCCTTGTGTGAATAACACCCCTGAAGTTGTGTTAGTGGGGTGTGCGGTTAGGGGGAAACCCAGGGCAAACAGAGTAACCGAAGCGGTGAGGTTCAAAGTCCCACCGAAAGCCCGATTAAACATTACCCGGAAAATTCAAATTGGTTATCGAATAAAAGCCAGGAGAAATTTTTGCAGACGTTTCTTTCTTTATGGACTTTTGGTTCCGAGGTCAACGGTTCAACCTCAAGAAAGAGGGTCCCGGGGTCCATGCTTCCCGGCCGCTTCCCATCCTCCACTTCCCAGTCCCCCAGGGCACTCGAGACGTGCTCAGGAACACACCCTCTGCGATGTAGACCAGGACTGTGCACAGCGTCAGCGTGACCCGTGGGGTGGGGGGGCTCGGTCCCCCCCAAAGCCGTGTCCCCTCTTTCCCCCCCCTTTGATGCTAGACCTGGCTCTGATCGGCCATTTGGCTGAGCCGGTCCTGGTAAAACCGAAACAGGTTCCAGCCATCTTGGACCGTGAGGTTCTCCACTCCCCTCCTCTCCAGGTAGGCCATGTTTTCGGGCTTCAGGTACGAGACGTGCATGCGAAGCTCGGAGCAGCCCTGTTGCCAAGCGGCCTGAAATATGGGGGGGGGGA